TCACAGGCGTGGGAAGGGGACGAGCACGATTTACGGGAAATGGGGAAGGTGGGGCCGGAGGAGGTAACGGCAGGGGAGAACCAAGGGATGGTTTTACCAGGGCGGGACGAAGGTCTGGGAAAGAACCTCAAGGGGTAGACTGGTGGCCAGCGGAGGATACGTCGGACGATTCTGACAGTGAAAATGATGGAATGAACGAGGAAGAGGGGACAGAAACGGAGAGGAGTGGATTGCAGGAGGGGGAGGGGAGAGACACACCCACCTTGGTGGAGGAAGTTAGAAAAATGTTGGATCAATGCTTTGACAGATTGGTTATTCCAGACACGTCAAAGTTTGCGAAGTTCACTTCCAAAGGGGACACTTTGGAGATGTCACTCCCACCGGAGGTGGAGCAAGCTCAGATAGATTGGATGAAAGAGAAAGCCGTGGTTGTCTTCTTCCAAGGGAATTTTAAATCGGTAATGGCGGAAAGAAAATAGGAGTGTATTCGGAAATTTGAGGACTCAATCCTCCCTCAGAACCTGCATCACAAGGAAAGGGGTAGGGTGCATCAAGAAGGAAGGAACATAATGTCATATTTTCCCCGGGACGCAAAACTGGTTGAAATGATGCTTAATCTCAAAAATCACAAAGTGAAGGACAGTGGCACGACATACAAAATGAGTTTTAAAGAATGGATGACACCTGAGGAGCTGGAATTGGAGAGATTAGAAGCGCAGGTTAGTAAAATTTGGGTGATGGCATTGAGGGTGCCCTGGTTGGCCGCTCCCTTCGTCAGATCACAGCTTGCGCATAGGGTGGGGAGGATATCTAAACAATACCCTCCGGAACGCTATGAGGACTCTCCGAAGTTGAATAACCTGAAATTTGACATCCCTCGTGATAGAAGGGATAGGGTTCCAGCCTCCTTAACCTGACAGAAATCCAATGGCAAGCTGGTGAAAATACAGATAGTCACGCAAAACACTGATTGGTGCTCACTATGCCGTGAATATGGACACACATCTGAAACCTGCCCACGGTCGATTGAGATCAACACTACACAGCTACGAACCAGGGATACAGGCATTCTGGGAGGTAGGGATCCCTTAAATGGCTTTGGCCCGGTCTCTGTTCACGCAAAGGGCTTAAGTGCAGGGGCGTTAAGGATGAGTAACGGGAGCCAGCCTCACCAAGGAACGGACTCAAGCCCGAGCTTCGTTTTTGGGAGCATGAGTGCCAGAGGTCCTCAAGGGGGCGATGAAGCAAACGCTGGCTACCCTCGGGGGCATTCCCTCCGACCGATACAAAACCCATCAGTGAACAGCAAGGATGGTGTTTGGAAGAAAGTGAGTTGGGCAACAGGTTCAGCTGGACCTGTGGCGCCCACAGGCTCAAATGGGGTCCCAGGATTCCAGGGGTTAGGAGTATCAGGACTGCAGGGTGTCATTGCCACTAGAGGAGTCACGGGTTCATCCGGGAACACTAACTCAGCAGGAACAGTTAGGCCCGTTATTTTTGGGAAGTCTGCAGTCGCTGGTAAAATGCCTGGTTCAGCAGTTACAGTAGAGTTACCTATCTCAGGCAATGGTCCCACAAACCCTGCATCTTCTGTCGGACCGGCGGGGTCCGTCGGACCCACCAGGATTGCAGGAAACTTCGAACCAGCTGGATCTGCAGTCCCCTTGGGGGTCATGAACTCCACAATAGGTGCCAAGGGTGTTCCAGATGGCAACTCTGCCGGTATGATTGGAACTGAAGTCGTTTCTTGCGCGCTCCTATAACAAAATAATGGAACAACGGCAGCCATGGTTGCTGGTGGTGAGATGGGTGCAGGAGCAGGGAAAACCGTGGTTGCAGTCGAGTATGCTGGCCAGGCAGCTACCGTGAACTGCCAAGCTTCTGCACTCATAGCAAACTCAAAAGAGACTAGAGAAACTAGAGATACATTAAAGGCTAACTGTAGTTCATTAGGACAAGGGCAAGGAGGGTCTTAGGAAGAAAGGCAAGGAGTTATTGCCGCTGCGCCAGGTGTTGTTTTCGAAATGCACAATCAACCTGGGCACAACGGTAGTTCCCAAGATCCCATGATGGAGTCAGATAAGTCACAGGTTTCCCAGAGCGTCAGTGAAGGAGCTGACCCTGACACAGACACACTCTCGCAGGAAGTGACAAAGTCAGTCCAGAATGAAAAACAAGGCACTAACTTTATAGAGTCAACTATCACAACTATCCAAGTAGGGAAACCAAACACACAAAAGGATACATCGGACGGGTCAACAACCCTGGCCACCTCAGCCAGCTCGGCCAGCGTGGCTGGAAACCCCTCGTCGTTTGACTCCAGTGGCTCTGCAAACGCAGTTCAACAGGCAGCGGTAAACCGGATGGAGGTAGGTGGTACTGTGGCTTTACAAACCCAAGCCTCCAAGGAAGAGGAGATGAARAAGAAGGAACTTATGGAGGCAGGAGATGGGGTGGATCTCTCAGGTGACTCAGAGAGTTCAGCAGATGAGGACCGCCCCTCAAAAGAAAAGAGAGGGAGAACCGCTTCGCTTGGGAAAACGGAAARAGCYTCTGTAAGGGGCAGGAAAAAGACTAATGTATCGCCAAGAAGAAATGCAGGGTCCAAATATTTAGTCCCATTAATTTGTAGAAAATCGCAGGAAGGCATTTCCTTCCTGACATACAGTATGGGTACAAATATAAAACACCTAACTCCATGTACCTTAGAAGAGAACCCCACTCAGGCGATTATGATGGCGAAAGTGAAGAACTACCTGGGGATGAATGCCCCAGTGCGTTCAATGCCTGGGGTTGGTACAAGGAAGGTGGTAAGGACTGGTAAGAACGGGGAAATTCATTTTTTTCTGGCGGCCTTTTATGTACGCCCCAGTGAGGGCGACATGGAAATGTTTGGCAAATCAAAGGGAGTCTGGTGCCCTCTAAACTGGATAAAGGATGAAAATTTATTACACTCTAACATGGTGTACACGGCAGAGGGGGTATCAGGAGATGTCCTCATCGAGTACAACCAACAACTGGCAACAGACTATAACTCGTTTTCTGAGTATTTCGACAGGATGCTCTCCCTTCCTTGGCAGGGCAAAGGTGACGCGTTAGAACTGGGGGAGGACAGAAAAAGAAAAACAACTCGCGCAGCAGGGCAAGCAGCAAAGGTTGCCCCATCCACAGGCTCCTCTACCTCGGTAGTGATGGCAAGTGGAGAAACCATATCAATCTTCCCCCCTGCGGACATTTCCCTGATCCAACCTTTGGGGGCGGATGGTGCTAATGAACAAGCTTAGGGTAGTCTCCTGGAATCTACGCGGCCTAGGGGAGAACAATGCTAGACAGAAGTAGGCCAGGTTCAGATCCTGGTTCCACCAGCATAGGGCTCACGTAGCACTAATTCAGGAGACGAAACTGAATGAGGAAAAAATAGCAGCAGCTCACTGGAAATGGCAGGGCCCTCAATTTTGGGCAAGTGCAGATGGTACCAAAAGGGGCACGACCATTCTGTTTCACAAGGATCTACAAATGATTGTGGAGGATAACTTTTTCGACTCATTGGGAAGGTGGGTTTGGGTGTCAGCTAACATTGAGGGGGTAGACTGGACATTTGCCTCTATTTATGCCCCAGTGGATAGAAGAGATAAAGTTCAGTTCTTTGAGGTCCTCCGTAGGGTTCTCCCCCCTTCCCAAAACCTGGTTCTAGGAGGAGATTGAAACACTGTTATTGACCCCGCATTGGACTCCTCGGTGGCAGACCCGATCCGTTTTGACACAGTGGCATTGGGTGAGTTCATTGAATCCGTGGATCTGACGGATCCCTTTCGCCAGATCCATCCTTTGGGCAGGAAATACACTTGGGTCTCACACACCCCCCGCCGTGACGGTACCTTTACGAAACTCAGGCTTGACTTCTTCTTGGTAAAGGACAAAGCAGCGGAATGGGCTATGGAGGTTAACATGCCTTTTGATTCATTATCGGATCACAGACCAGTTTTAATCTCTTTTATCCCAGACGGCCACATTAGTCGAGGGAAAGGGTTCTATAAATTAAACACAGAAATGCTAAATGACACACGGCTGGTAAAATCAATCAAGAAATCCATGATTAAATTAAGAGCCTTGAGACAATACTACGAATCAGAGTCGGATTGGTTGGAGGCTGCCAACAGAATGGCAGCCTCGGATTTTAGCTTGGCCTCTCGAACAAAAGCCTACCTCGACCGCAAGGCCGAAGAGGAATGCGCCCAAAGGATTGAATGGGCAGAAGCACGCATGGAGGAGGATCCTCTGTTCTCTGAGTACTGGATGGGATAACGAAACTTATGGGTGGATAAATTGGACAATATGCAAATTAACAAAGAAAAGATCTGGGCAGAAAGGGCTAGGGTTAAGTGGATGGATGTTGGGGACAGAGTGACCAAAGAAAATTTTAGAAGATTGTCCTCTAAAAAAGACTCTTCTCTGATCATCGAGCTAGACCACCCTTTCGACGCTTTTGCGCCAAGGGCCAGAGATACACCAAAGATCCTGGATTATGCAAGGATGTACTTTATGAATATTCTTACATCTTCTAGGTCTTCAGTTCCTGACCCCGGGGACAGCCTTCTCCAGCAGGAGATGTGGAGTTCATTTGAAGCCCGTTTGCCTAATCACGGCAAACTGGATTTGGACAGACCAATTACGATATAGGAGCTCACACAACACTTAAGGAAATGGAAAAAGGCAAGTGTCCGGGCAGTGATGGGCTTCCAATGGAGTACTATGTGGTTTTTTGGGACATCCTCGGGCCGATCCTTACGGATATTTTTGGAAAGGTCTTGGAGGGACAGGAGTTGGGAAAGGAAATGCGGCTGGGTACAATTTCACTGCTTTATAAAAAAGGGGATAAAAGAAATATTAGGAATTGGAGACCGATTTCATTGTTGAATACCTCATACAAACTCCTGGCCAAGACCTTGGCCATCAGACTTGAGAGGTACCTGTCGGGCTTAGTAGGGGTCGAACACGCAGGATTTGTACAAGGAAGGGACATTCTTAACAATGTCATGCTAACCCTCGAGGCCCTAGAGACAATTTGTGAAGACCAACCGGAAATGGTGGCCCTTCTCCTGGATCTGGAGAAGCCCTATGACCGAGTGAACTGGGATTTTGTCCTGGATACTCTGCGACTAGCTGGCTTTGGGGACACCTTTTGCCGGTGGGTGCAGGCGCTGTACACAACTAGCACGGGGAGGGTTATGGTCAACGGGGAAATCTCAGAAAGTTTTCCGCTTACTCGCTCCCTGAGGCAAGGGTGCCCTTTAGCCCCTATGCTCTTCGTAATACAAATGGAGGTGCTGCTCTCCATGATTAGAAATCATCCTGCCATTGTTGGTCTGCAGTTAGGCCACGGTAACCAATGCAAAGCGTCCGCCATGGCGGACGATCTGTTTGCCATGACTATTAAGAATGAAACCTCTCTGAATGCTCTCAAGTTTTGTTTGGATACGTACTCTAAATTCTCAGAGGCTCTTGTAAACTGGTCTAAGTCTGTGGCTATTCTCAAGCAAGATGCTAACTTGGCTGTGGATTGGGGGCTTAAATGCCTCCTTGCGGAAGGGTGTGATCGGTTCCTGGGTGTGCAGGTTGGCCTCTTGGATGGAACAAAACAGGCAAGCGCATAAATGAAAGAAACATAGTGACTAGGCTCAACAAAGTCTCCTCAGTCAGGGGGACGTCCATCTTTGGTAGGGCTTTATTTCTGAACACTTCGGTTTTTTCAGTGGCCTGGTATCCGGGTGCCCTTAGGGGTCTGGAAAGGAGGGCCTATAAAAGGATAAGGTCTCTCTCCATCAAATATTTGTGGAAAGGCACTATCCAGGAAGAGGTGGGCTATGTAGCAAAGATTGCATGGAAAAAAGTAATTGGGAGCAAAGAGGAGCGGGGTTTAGGGATTTTGGATCCAGAACTCCAGATTGATGCTCTCCTAGTTAAATGGGTCATCAAACTGTTGGCAGGGTCCTCTCATCCCTGGGTGGAGCTAGCAATCTCTATGCTTGTGAAGGAATGGGGCCTAACAAGGAGGGAGGATGTTTGGGTGGCTCTACTTACCCCCTCCTTGGTGCACACGGCTATTAAATCCCCCATCTGGAGTGGGATACTGAGGGCCTGGGGTCGTATCATGCCGTCCAGGTTGAAAGCCCCAGAAACCAAAGAGGAAGTACTTGCCCAACAGATCTTTGAGAACCCGTACCTGACAGATCCACAGGGCCTCCCCTGGTCAGCCAAGGATCAGCCGGGGTGTTTCGGCCGTGCCTGGATTCAGCGTGGGGTGTCGCGGATTGCTGACTTGTGGGACTCCGCGCTTGGACAATGGCGCTCTCCAGCAGAACTGCGTACGAAGTTGCACCACCTGCGAGCGACTGAAGATAGGGTAACTGAGGTTATTGTAATTATATACCAAGCCACTGGAAAGAGATCCTGAAATTTCCTCTCCAGGCTTATGAAGGAAACTGGGTAAAGTGGGTCGGCGTGGAGGGGGTGTCTCAGATTTGGAGAATTCAGCAACTCCTGGGTAATGGGGACGCGGTGGCCACCCCTTTTACAGTGGGGTGTGAATCCCATTCTTCAGAACTTACCCTGCTACCGGGAGAGGAGACGGTTGTCCGTCTGGATCATAGGATTTCCTCGATAGTGGTTCATGTCAAAGGAAATGAGAAAAGCCGGGACAGAGTAAACATGGTATATACATGCCCCTTGGGCATCAAGGCGGCACACAGGCTCTCAGTCCTTCCCCTACATTGGGGGTGGCGGGAAGCAGTCCCGTCTCGTGATATCCCGCTGCTGGAATACAAGCCTAGGGTTGGATATAGTGCTCGAACTAGCTCCTGCGCAACATCACTGGGGGTTAGGAGTAGGTGGATAGCGGAGAGTCATGAAAGAACAGGTCGGGTGAGCGCCATCTCTTCGGCCTCACTGAGAATGTTGTGGAGAGAATTGAGGAAGGTGCCCTCAGCCAAGTTTGGTAGCCTGCTGTGGCTCCAGACTCACTGGGCCATACCCACGGCTAAACGACTTTCTGAGAACGGAATGGGAGTAGAGACTCAGTGTTGTAGATGCAAGAAGAAGGAGTCTGCAACCCACTTATGGTGGGAATGCATCGAATCCAAAAGAATCTGGTTGTGGTGGGAGAGGCTTTGGAACAGACATTTGGGGGTAGAGGTTAAGTGGGATGAGAGGCTGGTCATTGAGGGGATAATGGTAAATTCCAAAGAACTGGGTAAGGGGTGGAGTTATGTAGTCTGTTCCTGTAGGGCGGCTTTAATGTTTACTATCTGGACCCTAAGGAACGACAGACTCTTCAGAAACACGTTTTATTCAGACATCGCTATCATGGATATGGTTCTCTCCAATATCAGAAGGTTGATTTGGACTGATTGGAGGCGCATGAACAGAGCTGCTTAAAAAAGGAATGCGAGAGCCAAGTTCTTCAGGTCATGGGGAGTCAGTGTCAAACTGTTAAAGACGAAAGCAAGTGGGATCATAATTGAACTGTGGTTGATGGGCCCCCGCCCACCTTGAACTGAGTAGCCCCCTTGTCAGTTGCTCAGCTCCTTGGTCCCGGCTCTCTCTGTGATTCTGTTTTAACTTGTTTGAACCTCATTGGATTTGGCCCCAGGAGGTCACTAAAGGCTAGGACAGTATAAGTATACTTGGCGCCCTGGAAACGGGGCGAAGAGGCCCATAGGTAGTGCCTCCTGCCAGTATTTTGTTTAGATCCCAGCAAGAATGGAACTACCTGAGTGTTTAAAGTTGGGACGCTGGACACGGTTTCCAGCAGATAGACTGAGATAAATGGAGCAGTTAGTTTTGATTACTGAGCTTGGCTCGGAAGCGAAACTGGGTGAGGCTGCCAGGATAACTCCGGGTTGAATTGTGAGGTCCCCGGCCTCGTCCCAAAAGTTATAATGACAAAACAGAAGGTTACAC